CTTTCATATCACAAGTTGTCTCTATAGGATCAGTGGAAAAGCCTAGATAATTGACAGCTATCTTTCAGACAATGCTACTTTTACACCTTTACAAGGCATTTAAAGAAAGCTGCCTGTCTCAGATTAAAGGGAACCTTAAGCAAACTTCCTGGAGGAAAACTAAAGATATCTTTCAGATAAGCATAGAAAGTTTAAATAATATATATTTTCATTGTTATGTGATTGTGGGTTAAATAAAGCAACAGTGGGAAGACCCATAGAAAGGGAATGCACTATGTCAGAGATTTTCTGAGAGCACAGTGTGACTTAGTAGCTTGGCATTGGAGTCTGGCAGACCTGGGTTTGAATTTTCACTCTGCCTTCTTGAGCTTTGGGAAAGCATGAGGGTGACTCAGTCTCTCAACTTTTACAAGTTGTAGCTTCTCATCTATAAAATGTAGATAAGAATTCAACTTAATGCATCAATATTGCTTGAAGAATGAAACAGGCTAATGGCCTTTAGTGTTAGCACAGACACCCTGCCCTTGCTGCCCATTGTACATATATGATAAATCTAGACCCTCAGAACGCTCTAGAGAGAGTGAAGGATGATACATACACGGGCATATTTATCTAAGAGAAGTTTAGAGGAAGGTCCATCCAGAGTGATTAAATGGTTACCTCAGGGTAGTGGGATTTGGACCAATATTACTTAAAGACAGGCTCCAAAGCAAAACAGAGAAACCCTGTCTCAAAAATAAAACAAAACAAAAACAACAACAACAAAAAACCCAAAAAGCAACCAAAAACAAAAAAAACCAAAACACTAAACCAAAACAAAACTCAGAAAGCTTTTCTAGAGTTTGGAGATATTGCTCAGTGGTTAAAAGCACTTGTTACTCTTTCAGAGGAACTGAGTTTAATCCTAAACACTCAGGTCAGGTAGTTAACACTGTCTATAATTGCAGGTCTAGGGAATCTGAGGCACATTTCTGGCCCCTGCAGATACCTACACACATGACACTCTCTCCCTTACCATCTCCCTCTTCCCCTCTGTCTCTATGTCTCTCTCACACACACATGCACACACACCAACTTCTACAGTGTCTAACCTTTCTTCAAAGCACTCATACTATATTTAATCAGAAAAGATACAATCAAACTCTTAGGAGTGAAAGTAGCTATGATTTAAGGGCTATCTTACAGGGGTATGTTTCAAAGAAAGTAATGACCTCAGTCATCTTTCTTTAATTTTTGTTCTTTTAAAAAACTAAACTTTAAGTACATAATTGGATTAATTATAACATATAGTATGCAGGAAATGGCTGACTTTATTTACTCTTCGTTCTGGGCATAAATCTTGATTGTGTTTCCCAGCTATACCCACATTGTCCATTATCCCCTTCTGTTCTTATTTTATATGGCACCAGGTAAATGCTTCTCACTAATGAAATGTAACCAAAAATACATATTCCTGGTGGTTAAGATATGTGTGTCTTCTCTCTGCTGTCTTGTCCTTTCACATAGCAAGAGATTCCATTACCTAAAAGTAAAAGCAGCCCAGCTTCCTGTGACACTTATTGTAGGAACAGCCTTCCATTGTTTTCTGTGTAGTCTAATCTGAATTATACAATTCTATATACATAATCACTCTTGGCCTACACATGACTTTATTTGTTTATTATAAAATTAATTACATTGCACAATGTACCACTGATGAATATATTTTCTATCAGAGTACTTGAATACTAAAACTATTTTAGTGTTTGTTTCAAATTTAGAACTGGAGGCAGAATTTTTGAATCTTGTAACACGAGAGTATTTGGCTTTTTATGACAGTGATGAATTTCTCTTTGGCTAGAATATCAGTTTCTTTTTCCCTGGTGGGTTATGAAAAATCTATCAATTTCTAATATCCTAAGTAATATGCTACTCCATATCTCTTGCATCATAGTACTATTATCATAGTTATTAATTTTTGTCACTTGCATAGGAAAATATGTGGGTCACACTGTTACCATCATTTCCATTTTCGTGACTGCTACTGACAAGATGCTCATTCCGTTTGATGCTCTCTTTGCACTAGGTGTCTACTGTATTACTTGTCAGTTGTTTGGTGCCAGAGACTCTGCTTGATTTGGCAAATGCACAGTGAAGAATCATATTAAGAGTTTAAGAAATTCCACTTTAATATGTTAAGGAAGAGTTCAGCCATCAGTCACATTGTCTATTTATATTACAAATGTGTAAAACCACAGGACAATCTTCACACTTAGTTTCCATTTTTATTACTTTTTAATTTATGTTTTAAATTGAAAGACACGGTTGCATGTATTTGTCATATACAACATGGTTTTGAAGTATGTGTAATTTTTTAAATTAGTTAAGATATGTATTATCACACAGTTATTTTTAAGTGCGAATACTTTACATTCACTCTCAGGATTATTCAAGAACATAATATATTTTTATTCTACTTAGCACATTGTACAATAGATTGCCTGAAATTATTTCTCCTGTCAACTGATATTGGGTGTCCCATGACTAGTGTCACTCCAGTTCTTTTTAGTCCTTGTTGGCCATTATTCTACTCTGTTTCCATAAGATCAACTTTTTTTGTATCTAACGTGTGAGTTAAGTTACAGAGTACTTGTCTTTCTGTGCCTAGCTTATGTCACTTAACATAATACACTATAGATTCATTTATCACATTTTCTAGATCCATTCATTCACTGACACACACTGAGGTTGACTTGGTTATTGCTAATTATGCCATAGTGAATGTTGAAGTGCAGATGCCCCCATCATATACTGTTTTCTTTCTTTTGAGAGTAGTGGGATTGCAGGATCACACAGAAGTTTTGTTTTCCAAGTTCCCCACACACTGTTCTACATAATGGTTATAGTAACCACACTTCCTATTAACAACAAGTGAGACTGTCTTAAGTTAGTCTAAGATGAACCCCACATGTCTGTATTTGTGGAACTGGGACAAAACACTAATTAGTCTAGGTCAAGGAGAAGAAGCAGTTCGAAAGGCAAATGTGTTCAGAGTGCCAAGACGAATAGTAGCATTGTGGAAAGAGTTTAAAATGCATTCTGAGAGTTCAGATTGAAGTCTCCCTAGAAGACTGAATGCCACTAATGAAACATATCTTAGAGGTTAATTTATTGATCATGGAAATATAAATTCATTTTCATATTTCTAATATTAGTAGCAAAATCTTTCAGTGTACAAATTCTGTAAGTGTGTTTTATTGATAGCTGAATAAGAAATAAAACCAATATAGAGCACCAGAAAGTTTGATATAACTGTGATATTCAAATTCTGCTGGGGGCATTGCAAATGAAAACTGTATTTTGGAAAGATTATGCAGAGATTACAATGGCTATAAATAAAGTGATATGATTTCACCCAGTATTCATCTTCCAAATTATTAATGGGATCAGACCAGATTATAGCTCTGAAAAATAACCTTATAGATAGGATCTATGTAGAAATGAGAGTATGTGTGTGTGTGTGTGCATACATTTTCAAAGTAGAAAAGTGAAGACAGAAGAAACATGAGAAGCTATTTAAATTCATGTTAAAGCAGCAATCATAATGACTATAGTTGTGTGTTGCGGAATATCATTTTAACTAGGCAAAGATATGCTACATTTATTTAACTGTGTGAAGATGTGTTACATTTGATTTTGCTGCCTTTATTAACAATGTAAAGATGTGTTACATTTGTTTGTGTTGCATCTGCTTAATTATCTAAAGATATGTTGCATTTATTTTACCTTGCCTGCCTGAGGCACCTGATTGGTCTCATCAAGAGCTGAATGGCCAATAGCTAAGCAAAAAAAGGATAGCTAGGACTGATGGGCAGAGAGGATAAATAGGAGGAGAAATCTAGGCTTGGGAGAGGGAGATAAGAAGGAAAGAGAGAACAAGGGAGAAAGAGAGGGACACACCCAGGCCCAAAGTCAGGCAGCCACCTGTCAGACAGGAGAAGCAGTGAAAGGAAGGTATACAGAAGGAAAGAAAGGTAAAGAGCCTCAGGCAAAACATAGATGAAGAGAGACAGGATAAGTTATAAGAGCTGCTGGACAAGCATAAGATAAGGCCAAGCATTCATAACTGATAAGGAGTCTTCATGTCGTGATGTGGGAGCTGGTTGGCGGCCCAAAAGAAAAAGCCTGCATATGAATACTAATAAAAGGACAGCTATTGGAATTTTTATTGTATTTGTTGATATATATGTGTCAGGTACCCATGGAGGTCAGTAGAGGGTATCAGATTCCCTGGAGCTGGAGTTATAGGTGCTGGGAATGAAACTGCCATCTTCTGAAAAAGCAGCAAATACTCTTACAGAGCCACCCCTCCAGACCTCTTGAAAGGTGCTAGTCTTCTCTCATGTTTCTTTAAAATAAGATCGTAGAACAATTTTTTCAATAATCTTAAATTTATTTTCGTGTACATCCCCCTAAATAGCAAACATGCATGGAGATACGCTGTAAACACTTACTTAAATCTTCCTCCTCCAAGCAGTTTGAAGAAATGGGGGTAAACTAAGTGAGGGCAGAGAAGAATGAGGAGAAAGGACAGGAGAATCCAGGGCGTCTGCAGTGTTCTTTTGCTTTCCTGGGGAGTCGTGCAGGGCCACAGGGGCTGCTGATCTATGGCTGCAGAAGCCTTCTGTCACAGGAGGCAGGTGGGTTGGACCACAGTGACCACGGCACCTCATTTCCTTTTCCCTGTTATCACACTGAGCCATGTCACCGACTAGACTTTGGGACGGAAGATCTGACTTTAGACCCACAGCTCTGAAGGAGACAATTGCATTTCATCTCATGCACACATTTGGTTTCACTGTCACTTTAACCACACGGGGGGTTGGGGGTGGAGGAAAAGGCCACAAGGTATCATGTTGGTATGAACATGGGAAAGGAACTTGTGTTGAAAGAAAAAAATAGCATCAGAGTTGCAAAGACTTTCCATGATTCCACACCCACCCCGAAAGCCCCCTCTCATCACAGGAAGTGTGCTGACCAGTGGGGGAAATAAAAGGGGCTCCTGAGGAGTTGGGTCCACATTCGCCTTGCACAGCTCAGCAAAACCTCAGCCATGAGACTTCTCCTCCTGACTTTCCTGGGAGCCTGCTGCCTCACCACGTGGACTGTGGAAGGTAAGCTGAGCAGCTGTTGTTGGGACAAGGAACAGGTGGGCTCATATTCGAGGTTTGATTTGGGTTTTGATTATAATAAACTGTTTTGTCCAGGTAAGGCTCAAACTTCTCATATGCAAAAATGGAATGCTAATTCCAACTCTCAGCCATTCTGGACTCTTATTTGTTTAAAATTGAGTGTCATATTCTCTCTATACAGTGAACACTGTGAGCTAGAATTAAAATGGAATAAATCTGAATTTTTACTGATGACTATTTAAGCATATCAAATCTCCTCATAATGATATTCTATTAATGCTGGCTATGATTACGAATGGGTTGCTTGCTTTTGTTCACTTAATATTGATTGGATAAATTCTCAAAGTTTCATCACACTGGGGAATGAGCTCAAAGATGTATGTTTGAAAGCAAATCTATGTTTTCTACTTGAAAACATCAAACAAAAAAATGACAAGAAGTTCATATTTTCATATCAAGAAAGTCAATATTATCGTCAACTAAATAGAGGGGTCTGCCAATATTGCTGTGGTTATTATCATTTATGATAGACTTCTTGAGTTTGTAAGTCAGCTTTTGATACTGAGTGTAACAGATAATGCACACTCTGTTGGCTACTGAACCTGGAAGATATACACAGGCGAGATGGAGATGCATTGAGCTGTAGCTGAATGTTCAGTCAATGTTTTCTAAAGGGTCACTTTTTCCTACTAGCTGGAGTTAATTTATAGACCAATTTGTATTCTGTTCTGTACACTTAGACTATAATACCATAACTTCATCATAGATTCTACAAGGACATAAAGGGAACACAGTCTGGAAATCCTTGACATTTGGCAAAAGAAGAAATATTGACGAAGGAAAAAACTTCAAGAATACTCAGTTAGGTCCCATGCTCCTAAATGGCTGGCATTGTGCTGAAATGGGAGGTGCATCTCTCAACAGCTTTTGTCTACTTGTTTCCTGAGCTCTGCTGGCTCTCAGACCAGGGCAGACATGGACAGTCTGCAGGAGCTATGGAACTAGAGACTTGCTGCTGAATGTGCAGATTAACACTGAGAACAAAGGAAGGGAGCCATGAGGGAAAGCAGTGTAAGCAAACAGCCTCTAGCTCCATATTGTAGACAAATGTCTTCCTGTAGCAGCAACACTCCAATTCAGACTTGATCGGTATCGAGACTACATGAGGTCTCCTGAAGTTTTGAAGCACATAGTGGCAGCTCTAGTTACCAAGGGAATTGGCACTTGGAAACTTTGCCTATTTAGATTTTTACCAACTCCTCAATCTCATTGACTCTCCTAAGGTATTTTCCCGTGTGCAGTGGAAGGTAGTGTTATGAATTTAAGAGTTTAATCCTCACTTGGGCAAGTCCTTTAATGACAAATCCTGAGGAACTGTGTTCTTTCCTTGAATGATAGCTTGCTCAAATTGCCCTTCATGACATCACTCTTCTATCTAATTTACAACAAACTTAGTCTTTAAAATGATCTCCTTTGCCTCTCTGTCTTCTTGGCGACCTCACTACAGCATATACTCACTCCATAAAGCGGGGTCAATACCCATCTAAATTAATGCCTTTGACATTTGTGACACAAAAGGACACTACTAAGTAAGTAGTTGTGGAGATTGTCCCTGGGGACTCTGTTGTGATTGTCTTAATGAAAATATACAAAGACAGAAACCATCCTGTTACTATGAATTTATTTTTGACACAATGTCTCCCTGATGAAGTTCTAGCTGGCCAAAACTTACTCTGTAGAGGAGACAGACAGCCATCTGCTTCTGGCTGCCAATGCTGGGACCAAAGGAGTACACCACTATGCCTGGCCACCTTGTTACTTTTACTACAAGATTCCTGAAACAATACTACTGATCTTTTAAATATCAGTCAAACATTTCCCAAATATATAATGTAAAAGAGAATCAGGGTGCCAGTGTTAATTATTTCTTCCCCAAAGGAACAAGTAGTTTTATACTTGTATTACATTTTAGAGTAATTTAATAAGGGACTCTGAACTTGACACTTGTTGAGCTACAGTTTCATTTATGCTTTCTTTTTCTTTTTCTAGGTGTGGGCACTGAAGTCCTAGAAGAGAGTTTCTGTGTGAGCTTAACAGCACAACAGTTGCCGGTTCAAAAAATCAAGACCTATACCATCAGGGAGGGCATATTGAAAGCAGTAATGTGAGTATCTGCTCAAAGATGTAGTTTTTATCTAGAAATATAGTAGGAATAAGTGTTGCTCCCCTCAGGAAAAATAGGGCACCATGGAGGAAAGTTCAAGTTTGCCAATAGCCCATTCTGTCGATATTAATTTTGTCTTCTTACTGTCCTTTCCAATGATGATTATTGAAAAAATATAAGAATATACACCCCCTTTTCTTCTTTTGCTCAGTAGATGAGTTTGACTAGAAAATAGATGGGCACTGTGTTCAGATTTTGTGGCTAGCCTAGACTAGGACTTGCACAAACAGCCATACTAGTGTAGGATATTTGTTATGCAGAGTGGCACGCCTTATATGTGGTTATACCTCGAGGGACACATCCAGAACTTTCCTACATTGCCTTCTAAAATTCCCACTTTTAGAGTTTCACTATTAGAAATTCACAAAAATCATCTCTAATTCCCCAAGGAGATGAGTAGTTCCAAGATTGGGAAAGGAAGGAGCTATGGAACAGTTAACAAGATTGTCCTAAGAGTCCAGGTTAGCTCCAGTATTTGGTATGCTGGTGAATGACGATCAACATGAGCTGGCTGTAACCTGGAGATTTATCTCCCTTACTGAACTACATGACAAAAGGGAGGGGCTCATGGATGGTTTCATGGTTCTGAAAGACAGCTAATTCTGCTCATTTCTGTACAAATTCTCTTTCATTGGACAATATGGCTAACATCTTTTCCTTGCATCATAGTTTTGTCACCAGACGAGGACTGAAAATCTGTGCAGATCCACATGCCAAATGGGTGAAAGCAGCGATCAAAACTGTGGACAGAAGGTCCCGTGCCAGAAAGAACGTGATTGAAACTAGTCCCACAAGAGTCCAGCGGTCCACCAGTACAGCTGTGACCTTGACTGGGTAGTGGTCTCTAGGACAGTGTTTCCGCCACAGTCAAGCAGCTCATCTCAGTTCACAGGCTCAAAATGGACTAATTGTGCTATATTTACCTTTTGTGAAAATGTTAAATGGATAAAGTTGTTTTTATTTTTTATATATTCATTTTCAGTGTTATAAGTAATAAATATTTATTAGTGAGGATTGTTCTGTATTTGATTTATTATATAAAGGGAAAGGTAATATATCATTTACTTCTGTATCATTAAGCTCTATCTCTCTCCCTCTTTCTCCTCCTCCCCTTCTCTCTTAGACCTCTGGTCTCCACAGTGGGAGACATTTGGGCCAGTGCTTACTGGAGATGAAAGCTGGCTTCATCACTCTTAGGTTCAATTTGTAATAGTTCTCCAAAAGTGATTTACAAATTATAACTGTGCCAGTGATAATTCCCAATCTATTTCAGTTTCATAGTAGGGTATTATTTATAAAAGCAGTGAGAAATCATCCAGCTGTCCTCACATTGCCATTCTGAGGGATAACAGCTCTAGTCAAGCTGGAGTGGAGTCACTTTCTGAGCTGTGAATTGGTAGGTTGATCAAGTAGAAGTCAATGCCCTAGAGGCGATCTCCAAAGTCTGTCATTTCATCCAGGGCAGGACCTAGGCCCTTCCCAATGTGTCCAGGCTGAGAGAGCATCCCTCCAGGTGGAATGGGCTCCCAAAGTTCATTCCTATGCCATGGTGAACACTGATCTACTACCCAAGGCCCCAGAGATTTCTGAGGCCTCCTTACTGACACTGCATTCGTGGAGTCTGGATCAGTCCCCTGTTGGCCTCTTAGCCATCAGTCTGAGGTTCAAGAGCTCCCCCTTGTCAGGTCAGCTGTCTTTTTGGGTTTCACCAACACGGTCTTGACCCCTTTGCTCATCACTCCTCCATATCTGTCACTGGGTTCCAGGGGTGCAGTTCAGTGTTTAGCTTCCATCAGTCACTGGATGAAGGTTCTATGATGGCATATAAGGTAGTCATCAACCTTATCATCAAGGAGGAGCTATTAATGTAGTTTCTCTGCTATTTCTTAGTTTGCCAGATGGTGTCATCCTTGTAGATCTCTGGAAATCTCACTAGTGTCAGCTCTCTCCTCAAACCTATAATGACTCCATCTATTATGGTATCTCTCATCCTGCTGTCCTCTATTCTTACCCCAACTCAACCTTCCTGCTCCCCCATGTCTTCTTCTCCCCTCCTCTTCTCCCCCTCTCTTTTTCCTGTCTCTCTCTCCCCTCCCCCCATGTTCCCAATCTGCTCAGGAGAGCTTGCCTCATTCCACTTCTTTGGGGTATCATGCATATGTCTTGGGAACTTCCCTGTTTCCCAGACTCACTGGCACTGGGATTGTAGGCTGACATTCCCCTGATCCATATCTAAAATCCATTTATGAATGAGTACATACCATGTTTGTCTTTTTGTGACTGGGTTACCCCACTTAGGATGGTTTCTTCTAGTGCCATCCATTTGCCTGCAAATTTCAAGATGCCATTGTACAGTAAATTTTTTATTTAAATATTTATCTGGTCACTCAATACCACAGACTTAGGTTTTTTGTGTCCTCACTAAATGACTGATTTTACTCCAGTTTATGTTTCTGGTATCCAAGAAGCTGATTTGTACCATGTTTGTCAAGCTGTCTGAAGAGTAATAACTGACTTTATCCTGGTAGTTGAGTTGTAGAAGAATTCCTGAGGAGATACTGAGCAATATTCAGAACCTTTGGACATTCTTTAAGGGCATCTGTCCACACAGTGAACCAGAGTAGAAATCACTAAAATGTCACCTCCCAGCAAAAGATCTGGCCTCCTATTCTTCCCCATTGCATTTTTCCATGGTGATTGTCAAAGATGTGCTAGACAAGACAAGACCTTAGTAAGCAGGAACAGCTTCGTTAGAAGATGGAAAGCTTACAGGAAGTCACAGGAAGATAGAGAGATTTCTCGATTTTTAAAGTTTGTTAATTCATTTTAATTTACGCACATGTGTGTGGCCTTTGTAAGTTTATGTAACCCACATGCATGCAGATGCCCAGGGAGACCAGAGGGCATCAGATCCCCCAGAAGTGAAGTTATATGCAGTGTTGAGATACCTGATGTAGGGGCTGATCATTGAACCTGGGTGCTTTGGAAGAACGACAAGTTCTTTACCAGGCTCTACACTACTGTGCCATCTCTCAACCCCTAGTTTTTCTAATTTAATTAGATATTTGTGCTTCCCAAATTTCTCCCAGGCCCTAGGGGATCATAATGGTAATAAGATGAATGAATGAGATGGATAGTATTTGATTTTTCAGTTTTAAATAATTTTGTTTAACGAATACTTCATTTTTATTAAGCAATGAAGGATACTTTCTTGCTAGCTAGTGGTGTCTTACCTAGTCACATGACAAATCTCAGTTAAGACAAAACAACAGACATCAAAAGGTTCATTAGCTTTCTTAGGGTCCATTTCTCATTGATAGGCTGAATTCAGATTGGATAATTGGAAGTGAGGCCCCAGGTTTGGCCTCTTGAGCTGTTGTTCCTGCCTTCTCTTCAGAAGTCAATTCCCCCACGACCTTTACTATACAGGGAGGTGTAACAACCAGGTGACTCAGGTAAACACAGTGCTCTTATGTAACCTGCTTACTTACTTCATAAATTAATTTATTTGGTAACCACGTATTGAGGATCTTAGACATCCCAGAGCTGAAAATTTAGCTGTGAGCAGAGAAGTCCTCTTTCATTCTCATGCGTTCTCCCCTCTTCCCCTTCACTCTGGAATAGGAGGCTTCTTCCTCTAGTTACCTCTCCAGCCTGTGCATTCCCAGGGCTCTGGTGAGCTCAGCAATGCAAAGATGAAACTAGAAGCTTTCAGTGGGGATAACACAAAAGTATGCAGGGTAATATGTGAACTTCTACGGAAAGAGCTGGACCCAAGTCAGGAAGTTGGGGTATGACTCAGATTTTAGTACTGAGAAAATGACACAGGTAAGATCTATATAATAATAACTTAAAGGAGAGTTGTTTGGTGTGTGCACTTAAATACACTCTTGGAAAGCTTTAAAAAGAAATTCTGTACAAGAGGCGGCAAGAATTGTGCTTTTAAGCATGAAAAGGAACTTGTCAGGAATAAATAGCAGTGTGGGCATTCTTGCCAGAAGAACCACAAGAAAGAAATCATGGAGGCACCAGAGGGAAACTGTTTATAGATGAGAGGGTTAGAGAGCTCAGAGAGGAAAAGGAGCTTGAGGTCAAATTTGAAAGGTCCAGAGCAGAAGGGCAAGGATGAGATTTAGTAGGGTCTGGGGGTGCTCAGAGAACAATGTGATACATCCACATTTAGAATAGTCACTTAGAGCAGTGGTTCTCAACCTGTGGGTTGCAACCTGAAGGGGCTGAATGACCCTTTCACAGGGGTCACTAAGACCATGGGGAAACACAGATATCCACATTATGATTCAGAACAGTAGCAAAATGACAGTTAAGAAGTAGCATTGAAAATAATTTTATAATTGGGATGACTACAACAGGAGGAACTGCATTAAAGAGTCACAGCATTAGAAAGACTGAGAACTACTGACTTAGTGGAAGGTAGACAGTGGAGGAGGACAGTGGGGACCAGGGAGGTGACTAGTAAGTAAACTTCTCTGGGTTGGAGCTAGGGAGAAGTGTAGGAATATGCACAAGGCTGCAACTGTCTGCCTACCTACTGGATGTGGGATGAACTTGATAGATAAACTGAGGCTCCTATGAGGTTTTCACCTAGGGTGAGTGGTTAAGAATCAACAACAGATTGATAAGATTTTGGTCTAATTGCTGCTGTAGGTTATGTTCTGGTGAACCCATCAGAAAGTATAACTGCTAGCAAGAGGGAGAGTCATGGGGTGAGAAGCACTGCATATCAGCTTAATATGCAAGCAGTTCAGACAAAGCCCAGGCTACATCTTTATTCCCTTTCCCCAGGCAATCCTTTTTAGAAGAATGGGGTTACAGAATGACTGAATATCTGTGAAAATCTTTATGCCCTTTGGGGGCTGGGGAGAAGGGACACATAAGTGGAATAAAATATACACTGGTGAGTCACCGGTGTTATTTTAGAAGGGATTTGTCATACAGTAGTGGGATGAAAACAGGAGCCAAGAGACGAATCTGTAATGAGACAGAAGAGAAATGAGGTGAAAGCAAAGGTTTGCAATGGGCATCAGGAATGCCAGGGCAGGACTGGAAGGTGCGTTTGGTGATGGGAAGGAGAGGGGTGCAGGACCCCCCACTTGGTGGGAGTTAGTATACAGTAGGTCAGAGTGAGGAAGGTGAAAGACAGGCTTGTGTCTTGAGTTCTGTCACACTGTGTTGCTCAGCATAATTGTGGAGACTATAATAATCATCTTTCTCTTTTACTCCAATCTGCCCCCCACAGGCTCATTATGGAAGACTTGGTTGTCACCTTGTTGGTTTTGGGGAAGTGATTGCATTTGGAAGGTTCTGACCTAATGAATGGATTACTCCTTGATGTGTTTGTGATATGGTGACACTGGGAGGTGTTTAAAACTAGAAAGACATCTTATGCCCTGACCCTTGTTTCTCTTTGCTTCCTGATCACCATAAAGCAATCAGTTCTCTCACTCCCATTTCTGTAATATTCTGCCTCACTCCAGACCCCAGATAGTGGAGCCAGTGAAGCATAAACTGAGACCAAGAAATGAAAATACTCCTACTTTAAATTATTCCTTTCTAATATTCTGTCATGATGTTTTCTTTCAAAGTAGCACACTGCTGAATCTTGGGACATTGCTCAGGAAGTTTGAGTTTTGGACAAAATGGTAACAGAAATTTCGCATTGTAATAGGAAGAAATAAAGACCCTGTGGCCAGAGTGAGCTGATAATTTCATGCGGATCTAGAACCAGGCTGGCGCGGCAGAGCCCAGGCGACTGGCGGGGGATAAACCAAAGCGGCTAGCAAAAGAAAAAGCTTCTCTTAACAAAATGGTGATCAGGAATGGGATCATGAATTTCCACGCAGAATGACAAAAGCTTTAAAGGAATTTTAGAAACAGAAGAACGGAGAGAAGCACAGAATTTTGGTAGCAGCATTTTCTCAGGTGTGCTCTGTTTTGCTAGCAACAAGCCGAGATTCAAGCGGCTCGCTTACCTGAGTCTTCCTGACTAGGCA